TCTATATCTATACAAAATATATAAACACTCACACCATTCTTTTCTTCCGCTGTGCAGACCGGTTGTGTTAAATTAAATCATTCGGATGGAAAAAGATTTGTCCTATTTTGTTTTTGGGGCCCCAAAGCCAAGCCGGAACCCAGGCTACAGCTGCTTCTCGCAAGTTTTTTGGCTTTCTTAACCTTTTTTTGGTCTTTTCCAGGAAAAACAGGGTTAGAGGGGGCGTAAGCCAATACGCTTCAGGGGAAGAATGGAATGGTTTCATGTATTCCCGTGGAATGTAAGGAATATCTATATATATATAAATATATCGTGTATATATATATATATATACATATTCGAAGGAAGTTTAGAAGTCAAACTTCCGACAACATGGACAGATGAAAAGCAGAGATGGGCAGAGGCAGAGAGAAGAGAAGAGTAGAAGAGAGCACAGATCAGAGAAGAGAAAGACTAAGAGTTAAGAAAGAAGATGCAGATGCGCGAAAAGGTAGGAAAGTCGCGAAACACTTGTGTTTTCCAATGATTTGTGGCTCTGGAGGGTCGAAAAGTAGGCTCGCTAAAGCGGCGGGTGCAGAGCCATCTCGCCAGATGAGAGATGAAAAATTGCACGCCGTTGTGGCGCGAAGCACATTTCCAAGTCAAAATGTACAAAATACACCAGGATCGGAGCACTTTTGGAAGTTGAGATGTTGAAAAAGTGCACGCCGTTGTGGCGCGAAGCACATTTCCAAGTCAAAATGTACAAAATACACCAGGATCGGAGCACTTTTGGAAGTTGAGATGTCGAAAAAGTGCACGCCGTTGAGGCGCGAAGCACATTTCCAAGTCAAAATGTACAAAACACACCAGCTCCGGACCACTTTTGGAAGTTGAGATGTCGAAAAAGTGCACGCAGTTTTGGCGCGAAGCACATTTTGAAGTCAAAAGTGCAAAAAACTGACGGGCGTCAGATGTGCTTTCGCGTGGCAGGTGCAAGGGATTGTGCACCTTGTCAAAACTGAGCAAAACGTGAGGGTTTTGCAGCATTTCCAAAAGCGATGGCACGCGTGGGACATTTGAAGAGGTTCTTCAAAAATGCATTTCGCGTGGCAGGCGCAGTACAAAAGACATGTTCATCAGAGATGTTAGGAGGTCAGGGCGCTGATTTCCTGAGAGGGGTTGCATTTTGGAGCATCAGATCTTCAGGTTTGCTGAGATGATTTTGCGTGACAGGTGCAGCACTTCGTATGACTTGGCATCACTTTTTCGTGGCAGGCGCAATACTTTCGACAGGTGGAGTGGAAAAATTGCAAAACGCATTGGTCGAGGCCGTAAGCTCTGCACTCAACTTTCCATTTTTGAAGGAAGTCTTGCAGAATTGTTTCGTTTATGATGTTGTCAACTTCGAAACTTGAGGAAGTCTCGCAGACTTGTTTCATTTTTGATGTTGCCAAGTTCAAAAATTGAGGAAGTCGCGCAGACTCGTTTCGTTTTTGATGTTGTCAACTTCGAAACTTGAGGAAGTCTCGCAGAATTGTTTCATTTTTGATGTTGCCAAGTTCAAGAATTGAGGAAGTCTCGCAGGCTTGTTTCGTTTTTGCCGTTGTCAAGTTCAAAAACTGAGGAAGTCTCGCAGAATAGCTGCAGGTAGACAGACAGACAGGCAGACAAACAGATAGATAGATTCAGATAGATTCAGATAGATTCAGATAGATTCAGATAGATTCAGATAGATTCAGATAGATTCAGATAGATTCAGATAGATTCAGATAGATTCAGATAGATTCAGATAGATTCAGATAGATTCAGATAGATTCAGATAGAATCAGATAGATTCAGATAGATTCAGATAGATTCAGATAGATAGATAGATAGATAGACAGATAGATAGATAGATAGTTAGATAGATAGATAGTTAGATAGATAGATAGATTAGGTAGGTGGATAGTTAGATAGACAATTACAACTACAACAGCTACCACTACACGTTGCTACTGCGATAACTTCAAAATATACTACGCAACATTACACTGCACTAATTACACTACACTACACTACACTACACTAATTACATCTAATTACACTACACTACACTACACCACGCTACACCACACTACACCACACCACACCACACCACACTACACTACACTACACTACAACAACAACAACTACAACAACAACCACTACTGCAACTACAACTACAATATCAACTACATTACATACAGCAATTACACTGCAGCACGCTACAACTAGAAACACAACTACAACTACACCCACACTATATTACACAACACAACACTACACTACACTGATTACATTGCATTACACTACAACTACAACTGCAGCTGCAACTACAACTACCACTACATTACATGACACTAAGTTTTCTACACTACACTACACCACACTACACTCAGCTACAACTACAACTACAACTAGAACTAGAACTACAACTACACTACACTAAGTACACTGCACTACACTACAGCTACAACTACACTACACTACACTAATTAGACTGCACTACTCTACAACTACAACTACACTACATTACACTAGACTACACTACACTATACCACGCTACACTACACAACACTACACTACATTACGCTGCATTACACTACTCTAATTACACCACACCACAACTACAACTGCACTGGCAAATGCACTAATTAATTACAGCTACAGCTCCACTACACTACACTACAACTACAGCTACGGCTGCAACTACAACTGCAACTGCACTACACAACACTACATCCAGCAGTTGTGGTAAGGTGACCACTGCAACCATGTAACCATTGCAACCACTCGAAAAAGCACAACTCCAACCACCTGTCGGTCCATCAGTGGATTCGCTCTGCCATCCGTGATTCACAGCGACCAACCTCTCCTATAGGTTTCCTATTTTTGAAACTTCCGCCACCGCCTTGTGCGGTACTACTGGTATTTATTATTAGTACTACACCTGTGTGTATGTATTCTGATATTTGTTTGTGCAATCTTTGAGAATTAATGGTTGGCATGGCTCTTGCACCAATCCTCACGTAAATTCTTTAACCCTAGCCACCATGGCGACAAGGAATAGCAGCAGTTGCTTTCGACTGTATCTCCTGCAAATTCGGCAAACTCGCAAGTGTTTTTGATCACTGGAATCTGAATAACAGACATGTCTTGACTCTCAACATTGCAGCTTTCGAAAAAACACAAATGGCAGCACCATCGACGAGTCCAATGATTTAATCAATCAATGATCATAACTTGTTGAGATGTGTTTTGCTGACTTAGACACAGACTGAAGTCTAGACTCACTGAAGATTTTTAGAGGTTGAGATTTGGGGCTGCTTTGGAGATCCAACTCCAACCTCCAGGGCAGGTTCGAAACCTTTTTGGTGCACCAAGGATGTGCAGATGGTGACGCACCACGTCTGTCTCGCATATCAGCTTCACCGTCAGGGTAAATAGCTGCACAGGCATGGATTGGGCAGTCACCAGGCATTCGTCATGCAGCTTAACAAGTCAAGTGCACGGAGTCAAATTGGCGCAATGTTGCGGAGTGTCAAACGAGTTGTTCCTTGGCGTTTGAGAGAAGAGAGCATACCATATTCTGACAGTGACCTTTCTGGCTGAGTTTTGTCAACACACCGAACGACTATCAAGCTGAAAAGCTGGTAATCAAAGCAAGAAACAGTACAGAATATGCCAAATACATCCAACTAATTAATTACCATCAATTGCCAATTGGATCCAATTGGTGACTTGGTCGAGGGATCCGACAGAACATTTTCCAATTTGGCCCGGAGCAGCTTGAACACGGAACTGTGATTGGTCCCAGACAGCTGCCAATTAACAGCTTCTTCATTTATTCAAGAGTTGCCGTCCTAGCACGAAGGAGCGAAACTCCAGAACTTAAGCATTCAAATGTCTGCAGCGACACTCAAGATCCATGATCAAAGCCTTTGTGGGATCTTTGACCACCTCCTGAATTGAATGTAAAACACGGCTTGTCACCCCGAGAGAAAGCTCGCACAAAATCAAGGGGCCTATACATTCGCGAGCAAACGGATACCGTTCGATCGAGAACCCGTCTACTGATACCGTTCTGAATCTCTCTCAGCCAGGTGCAGGAGGCCCTGACAAAACTGCAAAAGGGAAAATATCAGTTTGAGTAACCCGCTGAAGGTTGAAAGAAAACGATTTGGAAAAAAAGTGCCTGTATTTCAATATCTGTGTTCTTTATTGTTCTTTGAAGATCAGTGGGTATGGGTCAAAGCTGAAGCTCTTCGCAACCCATGCTCAGTAAAAACCATCCAATTTTGACAGTGACGCCAAGTGGTGACCCATACCCAACTTTTGCCAGCGCCAAAGAGAGTTTCAGTTGAGGAAAAACTAGTACCGCACAATCTCTCCCGAGGTCGCGGGTGCTTGTGGCTGATTCCAATTGCTGATCCATTGTGCCGCCATTTCTTGTCCCTGCACGAGGGAACTGGGAACATTCTCAGTTGGTTTTGGGGGATGAGTTCATCTACGATGCTGATTGTTGTTGGCACGGTCAACGATGGCCAACAAGGACAGCCACAAGCCTTGACTTCAAACACCTTCTATATTGGCCCTGTGGAGCGAATGTGCAATTTTAGAATCCCTCCAGCTCAGCCAAGCAGGGTCAAAACTGGCCAGGGCCGCCAGCTCTTGTGGAGTTACCTTCAAACTTTACTGTTTTCTGTGGTTTGAAATCTTTGGAATTGGAAACATCCCGCGCGTTTTCCACCGAAAATTCACCATAAAATGGCAAAACGATATGGATTCCCAAGGAAAATGGTCTTCAACTAGAGGGTTTTCGATATCCATGTTGATTTTCAGGAGGATATACCCTCATGCGGGATGATACGGGTTTGTCATTGGGTGCCCCGGAATCTCAGTGCTTGTGCTTGCTCATCATTTCTGGTAGAATAACAAAAAAAGGCGAGTAAGTTTGTCATCTCCGATAAAGACCTTTTTTCCGTGAAGCATCATGGATAGCACCCTGAAATACCCTCGCAGTTTTCCATAGTTTTTCCCCAAGAGCTGAGGAACCTTTTCCGTCGGCCTGAATTGTTAGGCGGCCTTGGCGACTTGTCGACGCAAGCGTTCCAAAGCTTCCATACACTGGCGGCGAAATGTGCTGGAATCGGCCTGCCATGGTTGGAGTAAACTCTGAAGTCATACATTTTAGGCTGTGTCTAATCAGATCTAACCAGCAAATACTAGCTAGTAGAGTTAGTAGAGTCAAATGAATCAACTTATGTCAACTTAGCAGTTGGATCACTGTTGGATCAGTTGGATCATGTGTTGCTAAAAACCATGCTTGCGAGTATACCAGCGTGCCTGGTTGCATCCCGCGACGCCGACTAATCCTGCAATGCTCATCTTGGTCAAAACCCTGTAGGCACCAGAGGTCCTTTTGGAAATCGCTCCTGAAGCGGAAAGGGCCCACTGAATTCACCTATCTGACAACATGTTGAAAGACCAAGTGACTATTTAGATACCTATCAACTGGTCTCACGATGAAATAGCTCTCTTGATCATATAATTCCTGGTATATATAATTATATAATGGTATCCGCCGACCGCAGCCAACGGCAGGGGGAGCGCGTCAGAGAAGACAGTACAAGCAGCAAGTGTGGACGAACAGTCGGTTGTTGGCGTCCTGAGTGCGAAACACAAGAAGAAAAAAACAGAAAGTCAGCGGCAAGAGCCAAAGTGGTTTCATGGTGTTTCGGTGTGGCGAAGCCCAGGTTTTGGAGGCTTGACCAGGGGGCGGCAGCCCTTTTATAGATCCGGGCGCCGGCCACGGAGCCCGTGTCCTTGCCTTCTCGGTGGTAACCGAAGGTTATAGGCGCGGCCGGCACTGCCGCCCACCCACCCCCGAACCACCCCCATACCACTCCGTGTCGACTGAAGTCCCTGTAATTTACGGTGTGTTTTGCGTGCGGCGTCAAAAAACATCGTGTTTTACGGTGTTTCGGGCCCTTGGGCGGCAAGGAATTTCATCTTGGCGATGTTCAAAAACCTCAGTTTTTACGTGGTTTTGGGCTCCGGAAGAGGGCCCGGGGCGGACAAAATGGCATCTTAAGATCGTTTCAACATAGATGGCCCAAACGTGGCCCCATGGGCCAACATAGGCCCAACATAGGCCAACATGGGCCCACCTTAGGCCCGACACCAGATGGGCCCAACATAGCCCAACATAGGCCCAACCTGGGCCAAGATAGGCCCAAGATGGGCCCAAGATGGGCCCAAGATGGACCCAAGATGGGTCAACATGGGCCCGACTTGGCCCAACATAAGCCCAAGATGGCTCAACATGGGCCCGACTTGGCCCAACATGGGCACAACCTGCGTTCAACATAGGCCCAGACTGCTTCCATACAGGCAAGCACTGGGCGTTATGCCTGCCTCAGTTCAACATAGCCCTCCCTGGGTTTGCGCGGAGAATCCCGGCCCAGTCTTCCCACACCATCCGCCAAACGTCGTTGCTTGGCCGGCGCCCGGCTGTCAGGCGTAAGCCTTTAAATAGATCGATAGATAGATAGATAGACAGATAGATAGATAGATAGATTATATTATATCATATTATATTAGATTACATTAGATTAAGATTGGATTGGATTAGATTGGATTAGATTAGATTAGATTAGGATAGATTTGATTCAGATAGATTAGATTCGGATAGATTAGATTAGGTTAGATTAGGATAGATTAGATTAGGATAGATTAGATTAGGATAGATTAGATTAGGATAGATTAGATTAGGATAGATTAGTTTAGGATAGGTTAGATTAGGATAGATTAGATTAGGACAGATTAGATTAGAATAGATTAGATTGGGATAGATTGGATTAGGATGGATTAGATTAGGATAGATTAGATTAGGACAGATTAGATTAGGACGGATTAGATTAGGACAGATTAGATTAGCACAGACTAGATTAGGATAGATTAGATTAGGATAGATTGGATTAGGATAGATTAGATTAGGATGATAGATTAGATTAGGATAGATTGATTAGATTAGGATAGATTTGATTCGGATAGATTAGATTCGGATAGATTAGATTAGGATAGATTAGATTAGGATAGATTAGATTAGGATAGATTAGATTAGGATAGATTAGATTAGGATAGATTAGATTAGGATAGATTAGATTAGGAAGATTAGGATATAGATTAGATTAGGATAGATTAGATTAGGATAGATTTGATTCGGATAGAGTAGATTAGGATAGATTACTGTAGATTAGGATAGATTAGATTAGGATAGATTAGATTAGGATACATTAGATTAGAAACGATTAGATTAGGATAAATTAGATTAGGATAGATTAGATTAGGATAGATTAGATTAGGATAAATTAGATTAGGATAGATTAGATTAGATTAGATTAGAGTAGATTAGATAGATAGATAGATGCTTATATACCGTATAATGAATGGTAGTGTCAACTAATATCATCAACTATCATCAACTCATATCATCAACTGATCTCGAGCACAAAATCCCTTGGTTTTTCATGTTCAGCATTTCAAATGGCCATGAATTGCAGTGAAATCCACAGAATCATAAGAATGGTCACCAAAGTCGAAAGTTCAACTGGTCGAAAGAATTGGGTCTGAAATGTTCCAAGTTCCAATCTGCTGGAGAGTCTCATATGATAATCATAATTATAATCTTCCCCAAGTTCTTAAAGGAAACAAAACTCATCCAATCAACTCATCACACAACAGCACCTGCACGGGCTTTCTCTTGAGCACGAGCTCGAGCTGCCTCCTGCTCGATTAAGACCATGATTTCCTTGGCTTCTTCTTCAATGCCCTGCTGTGCCACTTTCATCTTCAATGGCTCCAGGATCAGCGACAGCAACCTGCGGCGATGACGGCCCACTGGTTGATCCATGGATAAACATATAAAATCATATAAACATGTTTGAGGATGAAGAAAATCAGTCATTAAAACATATTAAAACCAGCACCCAGCAACTGGGACACACTGAGCATCTTGAGCTTCTCCCTTTGTTGTTTGTCCAACTTGGGCAAACGGCATTCATGCACCATATGACAGAAGCCACAGTCCGCACCGTGTTTGCAATTGCCAGCTGCATATAGAGCACATGGCCTTTTGCAAAGTCCCCAATCATGCCCAAGGCTTCCAAGGCTGCCTTGATTGGAAATACTGGAGATCTGGGTCTCAACCTTGTCCTCACTTGAAGCCAGCCTGGGTATGATCCCTTGGCTGGGTGGATCTGAAAGCTTCCGGACATATTCTTTGAAACCATCTTCACAGGTCTCCACTGGTGTTCCCAAGGCCGGCATGCTATGATATCGAATCAAGAACTTGGGGCTTTCCACCACATCGATGAAAGTACGGCGGTATTCCAGCTGCAAGGCCATGACTCAAATGATACTCGATGATTGAGAAGGTTGTCTCCTCTCCAAGGATCTTTGAGCCAAATCTCCAAGGCCAAAATCTGAAAGGGAGATGACTTGCAACTTGGCGGAAAGGTTTTTGCGTCTTTGGCAACCTGCATTTTTGGCAACCTGCTGTTGATAAATGTCCTCTGCAAAATGACGAACTGTGTGAGCAACAGCATCACGACATCACATATATCAGCTCCTCAATCCCTCCAACTCTCACCAATACACCCCCCATGGTGACCCGCCGCTCCTCCAATACTTTAAACACCAATCCTTGGCCGGGAGAAACGATCTATGCAGTGTGGTTAGCTTTGCAGAGAGATCTGGTGCCATCAAATCAAAAACCTGGATCATGAGAACTAGGTGCCCCCCTGCGACCAACGTCAAGATTTGAAGATGTTTGACCCTTTAGTCTGTGAGCTGGACGAATGTCTGTGAATATCACATGACAAGAACTTGTCCAACTGAGCGCTGCTAAGCAAGGCACGCAAGGGAAGCCCTTGCGGACTGGCTCTGGCCTCTTGAACGGAGCCATGGTCCGCTGGTCCAAGTGCAAACAGCTCGACAAAAAGATGCATTAGACAAATGTGAGCTGGACAAGCAAAATCTCAGTGAATCGACTGTCAAGAAGATGGATGTATAAAATGAGCATCTAATCGCTTGCAGCTTGCGTTTTAGTCCATGTTTCCAGGATATTTCTTCAATATGTTGCAGTTTGAACGCCATCTCCACCTTTCCAATCGTCAGAGATCATTGTTCACAAAAAATGGAAATCAGCACATGAGTACATACATATGATATATGGTCGGTGCCGGAATTATAGAGCGGAAGTTGAGGAGTACGAAGGTACGGATATTTACCGTACCCTGTTGTTCTATAATTATGTTTTCCTCGGAAGGTGTGAAAAAAAACGTATCTGAATTTACTCCTAACTTTTTTCGTCGTTCTATAATTCTTGTCGGATCGCTGCTGTTCTATAATTCTGTTTTCACCCATTTTTTTCACATTTCCCATTTTCGTTCTATAATTAATGTTTCCCGGGCCCCGTTCTATAATTAATTTTTCCGTCGAACGGAAAAATTAATTATAGAACGGAAAAATTAATTATAGAATTATAGAATCAAATCCTCATGTTATCTTCATTTTATCCTCATTTTATCCTCATTTTATCCTCGTTTCCTCATCAAATCTTCATTTTATCTGCATTTTATCTTCATTTCCTCATCAAATCCTCATTAAATCCTCATTAAATCTTCATTTTATAGATTGTATATGTACAAATATATGCAGTAAATATCATGTCAGTGCCAGAAATTATAGATCGGAGCCAGGAGTAATTTAATTATAGAACGGGGAAATTTAATTATAGAACGGATCCCCGTTCTATAATTAAATTTCCCGACTCCGCGCGGAATCGGAACCCGGAGGAGTACAAAGGTACGGTATTTTACCGTACTTTTGTACTCTTGGCTCCGTTCTATAATTCTGGCACCACCTGTATATCCATGTATATACAAATATTATTCTCATACACCTTTTCTTCAAACATCCACTAATAATCATTAATATATAACTGATGGCAGCTGAACACATCTGCGCCTTTTTGGGCAAGAGGCGAGCACAGGTTTCTCCTGAAAAGGACATCTATTGGCAATTGGTGAAACCCAAAGCCATATACAGTAATCCAACGGTATGTTGAACCATATTGTTCATAGATTAGATATGTGTATAAATCTATACTATACAAATATATTGTCTACAATATATATATATATACGTATATACATATATATATTACGTATTAGTCTAATAAAATATATTACGTAAAATGATATAAGTGTGTAATATGTATGCCCAGCATATCTAAATTGTCCAAAGTGCTGTCGGTTGATCTCATTTGGGTATTTTCAGCTGGTGATTCTGGTCCTCCTGGTAGACCGGGCTTGCCGCGCTTGCCTTCATCTCCGTGGCCTGCATCTTGCTCAACATACCAAACTGTGGTTCCCAGAAAATACCAACCTTTAGGACAGAACTACATGGAACTACTTTCGTGATCGATTGGATCTATGGCTTTCCCACATTTCCACTGAGCATCTGGCAGGGAAGTGCTCCTCAAAGAAGGCTCCCACCCCAGGAAGTGGCGCTTCAGCGCTCCCAAGCTGAGAATTCATGGAGGTGAACTCAGGGACATCCTGGAGCCCATCAGTGAAACATAGTGAAACCCCAAAAAAGATCTATGAGTCATCATATGGGTAACATATGGCAACATAAGTAATATGAGAGTAATTATGAGTAATGATGTTGATTGGTCAAGTATATTGTGAATGTATCAACAAGATCAATACATATCAATACAACATTAGAAACTGACACATGCATAATTACCCTAACATCCCAGCTTTCTAGCCCAAAAACGGCCTCAAGCGCATGGTGACGGTGTTGGGATCGACGTGGAGGTGAATCCACCTTCCAGTCGTTGTGATCTTCATCTTCAAGGCATCTGTTCCAACGACCGGTTAGCACCATAAAGCCAGGTGGGTCACTGTGGGAGGAAGTCGCCGACCCGAGGAACAATCGATTCAGTTGTAGCTTCCTGTATCCCGAAGCTGCTTGCGAACATAGCGCAAAAGCCAAGGGGGATAGGGCACAGCGATGATCCGACCAACGAAAACTATCCGGATGGGCTAAAATGTTCACATGTGATCTTCCAAACATACATGGTGGTCTTCCAATCCGGTACTTCCGTGGAGTTTGTAGCACAAAGGCACCTGATGGAACCGCATCGACATCTTCAGAGTCAGGCGAGAAATGATCGCCGGCCATCTCGGGGACGTCAGGCGGGGCATTACTTTGGCCCATGCCATCCACTGGAGCTGAGCCTTGATCCAGATGAGCATCTTGGATGTCTCGGATCTCTCGGTTTTCTTGGATGTCTTGGACTGGAGGATCTTCCAAGGTCTCATCCTCTCTCTCCTCTCTCTCCTCTCTCTCCTCTCTCTCCTCTTTCCCCGGATTCCCCAGATTCCCAGGTGCCATTTTTGACACAGCACCCCTTGCACTCACCAGGTAGATTCCTGAGACCAAGCATCCAGCAGCTTCCCCAAGCGCTTCTGAATCTTTCAATGGTGACCCCTTCGTCAGACGTCGCTCTGCCATCGCTTCCATGGGTTGGAAGATTGCGGATTTTGGTGGTGAATGGCTTCTTGGCCTGCCCCTTGGCCAAAATCCACTGGAACTTGCAGTATCTCTCTCCAAATCCGAATCGTGGATATCATGGATATCGTGGTGTCCATAGCTCCCATCCATGTCCCAACCATACCCATAGCTACTTGGGGAGTCCCTCAGACTGGGTGACACTTCTCTCCATGATGGACTAGCAGATGCTGCGAGCGTCGCTCTCGGTGGGCTGATGGGGCTGTCATCGTCGCTGTCACCGCCACTTTGTCGGCCGAACTGCGACATCTTGCCCATCAGCGTTGGGGTCTGTAGAAGCAAACCTGGCTGGAAACACCAGCCACATTGAGGTTAAATGTCGCCAATTTGTGCTCCATCATGTTCTAGATTTACAGCATTGAATAACAAACAACCAGATACAGTACATAGCAGGAATATCGAAGTTTTGGAGAGTGGAGAGTTGGCCACGAAGTCTTGAAATATTTCTGTATTTAGTAGCTCCATGGTGAACCCTTGCTCTAATGGGGCTCCATGTATTCCAAATGATGTTGGAACATTCCATGCGATCTTTCCTTGACATGAGACTGACTGAAATCACAGAATTCCCAGAATTCAGAGATGAGAAGTATCTAGAATGGGTTTGACGCAAACATATGCAACACTGCTGATTGCAAAACATGTTTTCTAGTGCCATCATGTGCCATCTACTAAGTCTACTGCTATCTAATTCCATCTAGTGCCATCTAGTGCCATATCTACCTAGCCAGACTATCAAAACTGCGAGAAAATGATGTGCCATCATGTGCCATCCATCCGTGGTTCGAGTTGTTCCAATGTCCCAATTCCCTGGCCTGGCCTTTCGGTTGAAGCTGCAGCTGCGAACCTTGCTGGCCTTTCTGTGCGCCAAAGGTGATGGGCTCCTCCGGTGGGCTGCCCTGGATTTGGTGTACTCCCTCCATCCAATATATCCAATGGTCAAATCACATCAAATCACCTCATTGTGTCCTCCATAAAACATGTGAAAATCTATGGGGGCAATGTGCGGATTGCCCCGGTTCTGGACGGAAAAATATCCAAAGTCCATCTACATGAAGCGTCCTGCAGTTCTCGACCAAAGACGTCACCCAAAGCCTTTTTCGTTGCGTTGAGCTCAGCCATGAGGTCCAGCAGGTAGGGATCTCAGCGTGGCAGTTCGTTCCAGGTGTCCAGGTGTCCAGAGAGGTATGGTTGGCTGAAATCAACTCGGTTTCCAGGTTGGCATAAAGTTTATAAATTTATATAAATGTCTTTGTTTTTTGAGATTATCCCTGCCATTTTCCGTCAGACTTGTATGACAGCGATTTGATTCCTGACAAGGCAGCTGAAGCATGTTACAACATGCGACAACATGTTACACCATTTACTCAGAACCGTCCCTCTTCCTCCAGGCCTCCAAGATCGGGGCCCACACCATCTGCAGCACTTGCCGGCGGAGCCATCCCCAGCCGGTGGCAATTCCAGCTATGTCATTGCTGGTTTCGCCGTGTATCTAAAGAGAAATGCCTGTTTCGTTTTTACATCTAAACCTCTGATGCTTCTTGGCATGTCCTTCCAGTGCCGAATTCGCTTTTGGTTTTTGGTTTCTGGTGATCTGATACAACATGATTCCAGTTTGATATATATATATATATATATACCATGAGCTACCCGTTTTAAGATGTACTCTCATCTGGTCTGCTATAAGGGAAGGAATTCCGGGTTCCATGCGTCCTTCCTCCCGTTTGAGCCACAGCCATGATGAGAGCTGAACTGCTTACAATGCTTGCAACATGTAGATTGTGTGTGTGGCCTGCGCGAGCCAAGATGATCATGATTCTGAATAATATAGTTTGCATGTTTATCTCCCAAAGATTTGGACAACAACATACAACAAACATTCCGGTTCGCTACATGTGAACTATTTATGTTGAAATGCAGTTTTAATCCCTGTTTCATGGTGTTTCATGGTGTTTAAACATGTTTAAACATGTTTAAAATGTGTGTTAGTTGTGTGTTTAATATATCTTGTTCCACTGTCTAAAAAACATGTAAAAAACCAAACAAAACACGGGCCATCGCACTAAAGATCCGCGTTTTTTTCTCTTAAGTCACGGTGGAGCCGCGGGCCATCATCGCCTCAGTACCAGTACCAGGTATGTACCAGGTATGTCAGATATTGAAATCATGAAACGTTGATGAAACGTTGAGGACAAGGAAAAATCTTGCGCAAGTTGGGAATGCGTTTTGAGCGAGAGAGAGAGAGAGAGAGAGATCTTCAGCATAAGGCCAAAATGTCATCACAAAATCAGCGTGAAAACTGGCTGGTATTCTATCCAGTTCTTCAATAGATCTCCTGCAATGTCGTAAAAAAACCGCACACAATATGGCAAGCAATTACTTACAATTTTACATCCTCTCTTTGCACGTAAAGGGCAACTTGAATCAGCGATGGCATCAAGGGTCTGCTGACCATGCAAACTTCCACACGCTGCATGAACGAAATGGTGTTTTTCCCTTCTGCGGAGTGTCTCTACGCAGCATCCAAAAGAGAGCACGACAGGCATCCTAACACTTCGTAAGTGGCTACAAGCTGACAAAACTGGTGGATCTGTCACCTGGGGTCAGCCCCTTTATATAAAGGCTGAAACCACTATACCAATAAATGCATACTAAATGCCTTCAATGGCTCGGGTGGATGCAAGGAGCTCTGCTGCAAGTTCTGCAGCAGTCTCACCAGCTCCGTGACAAACGTCATAGACGCAGTCCTCGTAGAACGTCTCATCAGGACTTCCATGCTGGATATCTCCCAGGTGCCCCAGGTGCTTGGAACATGCGTCTTGGGCCTTGCCTTCCTCCTCTCGGCTGCACTTGGCCACAAAAGCATCACCAGCCTGGTCCATGTCAAGGTAAGTGGCTGCAGAATCACTTCCACCCAAATCCTGCCACTTCGCATCAATGGCAAATTCTGAATCGGTCTGGAGAGTGGAGAATCCCCGTGATCCCCGTGCCACTTTCAACTCGCCATCCACAAAGCGGTAGTCGTGCCTGCACGCAGAGGTGGCATCAAATTTGTTGAAAAACAATTTTTGCGATGACGTCAAGGCACCACTCTCATGGCATATTGGCATATACCAGGTAGTGCCCGGCACGCGCCGGGGCGGAAGATTCGAAAATTTCACATGGTTACAGGAATCGGTTTTTGTGTATAGGAATTCTTGGTGAGTTGGAATGAAATGAAATGAAATGCATGACATGGATGAATTGAAATGAATGAATTGAAATGAATGATTTGAAACGAATGAACTGACATGAAGGAACTCTCCTTTTTTGAAATGAAACGAAATGATTTGAAATGAAATGAAAAGAACATGAAATGAAAATGAAATGAAAATGATGAAAATGAAATGAAAATGAAATGAAATGAAATGAAACGAAAAGAACATGAAAATGAAAATGAAATGATCGAAGGAAGTTTAGAAGTCAAGCTTCCGACAATATGGACAGATGAAAAGCAGAGATGGAAAGGGTCAGAGAGAAGAGAAGAGTAGAAGAGAGAAGATCAGAGAAGAGAAAGAGTCAGAAGAAAGAAGATGCAGGTGCGCAGAAAGGTAGGAAAGTCACGAAATACTGTGTTCCAATGATTTGTGGCTCCGGAGGGTCGAAAAGTAGGCTCGCTAAAGCGGCGGGTGCAGAGCCATCTGGCCAGATGAGAAATGAAAAAGTGCATGCCGTTGTGGCGCAAAGCACATGTCCAAGTCAAAATGTACAAAACACTCCAGGGTCGGACCACTTTTGGAAGTTGCGATGTCGAAAAAGTGCACGCCGTTGCGGCGCGAAGAACATGTCGAAGTCAAAATGTACAAAATACATCAAGACACATCATGTTCGGACCACTTTTGGAAGTTGCGATGTCGAAAAAGTGCACACCGTTGTGGCGCGCAGCAAATTTCGCACTGAAAATGTACAAAACACTCACCCCATGCTCCCACCACTTTTGGAAGTTGCGATGTCGAAAAAGTGCACGCCGTTGTGGCGCGAAGCACATTTCGAAGTCAAAATGTTAAAAGCACCAGGGGCGGGCGCAAGGGATTGTGCACCTTGTCAAAAGTGAGCAAAACGTGAGGGTTTTGGGGCATTTCCAAGAAGGATGGCAGGCGTGGGACATTGGAAGAGGATCTGCAAAGATGCATGTCGCGTGGCAGGCGCAATACAAAAGACATGTTCATGTCAGGGCGCTGATTTCCTGACAGGGGCTGCATTTGGGGGCATCAGATCTGTGGTTTGCTAAGAAGATTTTGCGTGACAGGTGCAGCACTTCGTACGACCTGGCATCATTTTTTTGTGGCAGGCCTGGCAGGCCTGGCAGGCCCAGTACTTTAGACAGGTGGAGTGGAAAAATCGCAAAACGCATTGGTACGAGGCTGTCAGCGCTGCACTCGACTTTCCATTTTTGAAGGAAGTCTCGCAGAATTGCTTTGCGTTTGATGTTGTCAAGTTCAAAACTTGAAGAAGTCTCGCAGAATTCCTTCGTTTTGGATGCTGTCAAGTTCAAAAAATGAAGAAGTCTCGCAGAATTGTTTCGTTTTTGACGTTGTTCAGTTCAAAAATTATTGAGGAAGTCTTGCAGAATTGCGCATCAACTGCTTCTCCAGTTTTGAAGGCGCTTCAAGTTGCTGGTCAAGATGGGTCTTTTAGTTCACCTTTGCCGGCATCAACCAGCACAAAGGGTCCATGCAGATACTCCGAGGAGGGTTGCAAACGGGGTGCGGCATGCACCTTTCAGCATGACATGGAAGGGATGCGTGGCCGGTGTTGGTCATGTGGAGGTTCAAACCACCTCAAAAAGGAGCGCATCTGGTGGAAGGAGCACTTCCTGGAAGTCCCGGAGGAGGTGCTGAAACATATGGTTGGTCAGGTGGAGGATCCAATGGTGTGGACATGCCCTTGGAATAGAAGGCAGGGTTGGGGACACCGTACGGAAAGGGTGTGGTGGTGCACTTGTTCTCTGGTGTTGATGCTTCCGTGTGGACCAAGGAGGATTGGGGTGACTATACCATGCAGTGCATCTGCGTGGACAGGGCGATGGGGTCCCAGTTCAACATACATCATCCTGGAGTTTGGTCCTGCTTGTGGAAGCTGGCGGAGGGTGGTTTCATCAAGGCGGTGATCGGAGGGCCTCCCTGTAGAACTACGAGCAGGTTAAGAAATCGTGGACCGCCTGGTCCGAGACGTCTTCGAGGAAGAGACGATCAACGGTGGCACCTGGATCATTTGGATCCCTTTGGGATGGAGCTGGTCAACAGCGACAGCGAGTTGATGCTCAAACACGTGGCTCTGTGGGTGAAGTCTGATGCGTGCAGAACTTCGCCACGGGTGCCAACTGGGTTTTTATGGGGTCTCCCGAGGATCCCAAGGACTACTTGGACGATGAGGAGGAAGCCAACATTTGTCTGAGCTTCACTCAAATTCAAGGAGGTCCAGCAGATCGTCGGGAAGGACTGTCTGATCTACTTTGCCTTCAACCAAGGTCAAACCGGGCATCGCAGGCGGAAGCCAACTGGCATTGTCACCAACCTCCCAGAGATGTCTCAGTTTCAGTTGCCGGGACTCAGAGGTGGCGGCGTCACAGCTGCGATTCATGGTGGGCTCAGTGAAAGAATTTTGGCGTCCAAATCATGGGCTGAATGGAATCCGGGTTTGGTGGCAGCGATCAAAGAGTCCCTCAAGATGTACCTGAATGTGTTAGATGCCGAAGGAGCTGAAGTCCGAGCAGATCCACAACTTCGGAATCGAAGATCGACATGGCGGCCTGGAGGAAACATGTTAGGCAGCAGCATGTGCCCTTCCGGAAGGACTGCAGGGTTTGCTTGGAGTCAATGGGCACAGCAAATCCTCATCGAAGAAGCCACAACGCTTCTTCATCCTTCACTATGTCACTGGACTTGGCAGGTCCATACCAAGTTGGGCGAGATCTGGGAACTGGGAAGTCTTGCAGGTACAGGATGGTGGAGGTTGCTCCAGTTCCAGTACTACATGAACCTCCGGTGGCACATGAAATCCTTGATCTTCAGGTCGAGGAGGCCCCTGAATGCCCAAAGGAGGAAGAACCCGAGGAGCCGGTGGAGGATGCGGAGCAGGATGTGGTGAATGCCTTGAATGAGAAGGCGAGCATCGAGGAGATGGCAGAGCCTGCATCGGTTCGAAACATCACGCTGATGGAGCCGGTCCAATCTCGACATGTGGGCCATCTGGTTGCAGCGATGTCCAAACTTCATGCCAAATACCGGATGTTGGGGATCAATGTCATGCGACTGCACACCGACCACGAAAAGTTTTTTCTTCATGCCAAAGCGCAGCGGTGGTGCGAGCAGCGTCAGAATCTTGGTGACGATGCTAGCAAACCTGAACACCGTCTTCTCAAACCTCATTTGACCGAGAAGGTCGAGATGGTCACCCCATTGACATTTCCATGCAAGCAAGAATATGAGAGGGTGAACACCACACTGGAAGGAATGAAAGAAAGAGAAATCCTTGATGGCGATCCTTCCAAAGTGCCTCATGGAGATGATGAAGAACATGACCATGACGAAGACGATGACGAGCTTGATGACGGAGATGACGGTGGACCTGGACCAAGTGGTGGAAAAGTTTCAAAGAAGCCTCTTGGTGACTCAGAGGATATCTTCGACAAAGATAAAGATCCAGAAGAGATGACTCTCCAGGAACTTATCGACGCCCAGCCAGACCATTGGAAATCGGGCAAAGCTGGAGATGGGAAGATATACCTCACTGACGATGGTGAGAAGGTCAAGTTGAATGTCAAGGGTTACCCATACAAGATTGGAGATGACGGTAGACGAATGTTCAAAACGTCACTACGTCCCAAAGGGACCTACTCTCCTGAAGAATGGCGCAAACTCTCTCAGTCTGATCGGAACACCATCCTCAAAGCCGAGAAGAAGAAGTTGGAGAAGAAAGAGGCCGATGACAAAGCCAAAAGATTGGTCGAAGAGAAGAAGAAGAAAGCAATGAAGAAGGAGAAGAAAGATTCAAAGAAAGACAAGGACGAGCCGAAGTCCAAGGACGATGAAGGAGGTGATGAAAGTGAGAAGGATGATTCTCATTCAAAGTCAAAGAAATCCGATGCAGGTGTTGGTGAAATTATGAAGAACAAAGTTACCTTACCTATCACATGTACAAGTACATATCTTGATCTGTACGACATAGTCGATGATGACGATGTCCATGGAAAACGATACATTGATTGTCGAAAAGTGAAGAGGAATGCTGATGCTAGTCCATGTTCCGATGCTTCTACTGATGTCCCGGACGACGAGGAATATCTCACTGAATGGGATGAGTGGTCGGAGGTCGAGAAAGGACGTGGCCCTAAAGCATCGTGGAGTGGTGAAGTTTGGAGCACATTGTCAGGTGAGATTTCAAGATTCTCCGTGGCTACGCCAGGTGAATCGACAATGATCAAGAATGGCAAGTGTGTTAATGTCAAGGACGTGAAGAACATAGCCACTGATGATGATGAATACATCGCATTCCCAACTATGCCGTGCACTTCTGCATCCAATCAAAGTCACCGAACCAAGATACCATCAGGGGGCCTACCGGTTTGAGCGCGCAACGCGCGCGAAGAAAAAAAAGGCATATATTTGCCTAGAAATGGGTATAGTGGCGCGCCCAAAACGCACTTTTTTATTTTTTGGTACTGATTTGGCCGGCCCGGTCCGCCAGGAAGATGTTTAAGAGACAGGGTTTCTGCAGATCTTGGGCTTCTCTGCGCCGCCGCCGCGGCCGGCAGGCAGTCTTTAGGGAGCAGTTTTTGGCCCACCTGGGCTTTAACTCGGGCCCGGCGCGGCCGGCAGGCAATCTTTAGGGAGCAGTTTTTGGCCCACCTGGCAGGTTGTCATGTCGTTTTGCGTGGCAGACGTGGCACTTTGTGACATTCCAACCTGTTTGATAACGTGTCGAAAGTGCCAAAATAGGAGGACGTCTCGCACGAAATGCTCGTTTTTCTGCGCCCACGTGTCTCGTCTCGAGTCTCTGGTTTTCCTGTGGCATCGCCATGTCTATGGGGGAAGCTGCGAAACCTCTCCTTTTCGAAGGTTTCCAAACAGGTTGTCATGTCGTTTTGCGTGGCACGCGTGGCAAATTGTGACATTCCAACCTGTTTGATACCGTGTCGAAAGTTCTTTTGTGTGGCTGGCGCAACAATGCACTCCGCACTTTACACTCTACACTTTACACTCCACACTCTACACTCCACACTCTACAGTCCACATTCCACACTCTACACTCCACACTCCACCACACTCTACACTTTACACACTCCACACTCCTCACTCCACACTTTACACGCCACTCTCCTCACTTTACACTCCACACTCCAGACTCCACACTTTCCACTCCACACTCCGGACTCTACACTTTACACTCCACAATTTACACTTCAGACTCCTCACTCCACACTTTACACTTTACACTCCACACTCCACACTCCACCACACGCTTCACTCCACACTCCACACTCCTCACTTTACACTCCACACTCCACACTCTACTTTTTCCACTCCACACTCCACACTCCACACTCTACACTCTACACTCCACACTTTACACTCCACACTTTACACTCTACACTTTACACTCTACACTTTACCCTCCACACTTTACGCTTTGCACTTTACACACACTTTACACTCCACACTCCTCACTTTACACTCCACGCTCCCCACTCCACACTCCACACTCTACACTTTCCACTCCACACTCCACACTCTACACTTTCCACTCCTCACTCCTCACTCCACAATCCACACCCCACACTTTACACTCCACACTCCACACTTCCCGCTTTACACTCCACACTTTACACTCTACACTTTACACTCTACACTTTACACTCCACACTTTACACTCTACACTCCACACTTGATACTTTACACTGTACACTCCTCACTCCACACTTTACACTCCTCACTCCACAGTCCACACTCTACACTTTACACTCCACACTCCACACTTTACACTCCACACTCTACACTTTACACTCCACACTCCACACTCTACACTTTTCAGTTTTCAATCCTCACTCCACACTTTACATTTTTCACTCCTCACTCCACACTCCACACTTCCCACTTTACACTCTACACTTTACACTTTACACTTTACACTGTACGCTCCTCACTTCACACTTTACACTCCCCACTCCCCACTCCACACTCCACACTCTACACTCCACACTCCTTACTTTACACTCCACGCTCCACACTCCACACTCTACACTTTCCACTCCACACTCCACACTCTACACTTTCCACTCCACACTGCAGACTGGTAACAGGGGAAATATGTACAATGACAATACTGTTCAAATAAACTATTGCAGAAAAGTGTTCTGCGTGACTGCATATCCGGTTGTTTCGACATCTGTACCATTAACATACGTGTGAGCATTCGGGTTCGTGGGCTGCATCTTGATTTTTAGATACAAATATATATATATATATATATAAGTCCAAGGAAATGTTTCAAACACAGTATAATACCGCTTTGCTATGTTTGCTCTGCATCTTGCAATCTCTTGCATAAAATGCAGTGGCCAGTTGCAAACCCATGCCGCGCCTTTGTCTCATCACCAGCTGGAGGTTGATGTTGTGGTGCGGCCTACAGCTGAGACTTAGGACCACCTTCTCTGTCTTGCCACTCTTCGTGTTCACATTTAAATGGATGTGTTTGTACCCTTTTGCACCCTTCTTTGTGACTTGGAAGCCGGTCACGTAGTCCTGGCCATCTGGGACCCAGATTTCTTCATCATCTTTCACGATAGTCCATTCTCCATCCCCTTTGCGGGCTCGCCACTGGCAGTCTTCGGATGTCATTTCCATGATTTGTCGGACGGCTCCACCGGACTTGTCCACCAGTAGCAGTCCCTTCGTGAATGCTTGGTGTCCAGCATACCAAGTGTAAACTTGCCAGTCGACTGGGACTGTCTTCATAAAACCGTTGTCTGAATGGAATTGAGTCTCCAACCCTGAAAGGTGCCACAAGGAGAAGATGCCCTGCCGCATGAGGGTGTAATGATGGCCATCCAATGTTGTGATATGCGGGTCACCCATCGCAGTGGCCGGCTGGTCTAGAATGGTGTAGCTTGCTCTCGGTATATCACCCAAGACGTTTGTGACTTCATCGCCTTCACAGCAGGTGCAGGACGCCTCAAGATTCTGGAATGCAGGGTAGTGACTAAAGCTTGTCCAGCCCAGCCCCTGGCAAAAGTATCCACAGTCTGAAACACCCAAATCGTTTTGGCTGTTTGGTTGTTGGGAGGGCGTGGTCGTACATCTGCACCTTCGACCTTCTTCACATAGCCCTTTCAACCTTCCAGATTCAGAGAGATCTGTGCGTATAAATTGGTATGCCACTAATGGTGAACCTGGTTGATCTTGGGTCTCCCTTGACCTGCAGCAAGTGCAGAATCCGTTTGTCGGCAAGAAGGTGAAAGCCGGGTAAGGGAAACAATAGCTGCGGCATCCTTCGAGGTCGAGGTTTGTTGCCCTGCCTGTCTGGCTTGTACAGGAGCAACCAACTTCCCCGGAGCAAAGGTTTGGAGGTCATTGATACGCCCAGCGGGCACTACTTGCTCTGCTTTCAAGGCCAGCTGCCCTGGGCTTTGTAGCAGGCACCCCTCCTCCGGTTCAGGCTGAGCCGTCACCGCAGAGCTGGGCATCAGAAGGACATGGAGCACTTGAAGGGCTGAGACGACTGAGATGGCAAAATGCATCTCTGAGAGCAAAGAAAGCAAAGAAGATTCGAGATCAGGGACGAGGTCTTGATCAAGAAAGTTGCTGGGAGCAGCGCCTTCAGACATGCATGAAAACAACATAAAACAATATAAAGCATCCCAAAACAACTGTGGCTCGAAAACAGGCACTCCAATCAAGAAGAAAAAGATGTGACATCATACTCGGATTTCACTGGTTTGACGTGTCATAGGCTCCACATTCTTTATACTTATTTTTGTCTAAAACTAGGAATGAGTTTGCCATGGTCTGCCTGCATTCAGACATTCTCCGACAGTTTTTACTCACATTCCAATGATTCAACGCCCCTCACAGGACGGAGTCAGAGTTTCCGAGTTTCGGACGGGTCTCACCAGATCCTCGATGATCGGCCGAGCCTGGCAGATGTTCTGTGGTGACCAGGTCAAATGTCACATCGTTCATTGGCTGTGGACTGGGGAAAACATGGCAGGTACTGCGGATATGTGGAGATATCATGAGATATCATGGTTCGTATACTTTGCTTGGATCCACAAATGGCTTGCTTCTTGCCCATCAGCGTTGGGGTCTGTAGAAGCAAACCTGGTTGGATACACCAGCCAGCCACGTTGAGGATAAGTTTCGTTCTATCATGTTCCAGCTTTACAGCATTGAACAACAAACAACACGAAACAGTAAAAGGAATATCCAAGTTCCGGAGAGCGGAAATGGGTGAACCCGTGCTCCAGTGCGGGTCCATGTATTCCATAATATGACGTTGGAACACTCCATGCAACCTTTGATTCCACCTAGAATCACAGAATTCACAGAATTCAGAGATACAGTAAGAAGCATCTAGAATGGGTTTGACGCAAGCTGCTGACTGCAAAATATGTTTTCTAGTGCCATCTACTAAGTCTACCGCTATCTACTTCCCTGCAGACTATCAAAATTGCCAAAAAATGATGTGCCATCCATCCATGGTTCGAGTTGTTCTGATGTCATTGCCCAAATGGAGGGTTGGCTGAACTCAACGCAGTTTCCAGGTTGGCATAAAGTTTATAAATTTATATATAAATGTCTTTGTTTTTTGAGATTATCCCTGCCATGTTCCGTCAGACTTGTATGACAGCGATTTGATTCCTGACAAGGCAGCTGAAGCATGTTACGACATGCGACAACATGTTACACCATTTACTCAGAACCGTCCCTCTTCCTCCAGGCCTCCAAGATCGGGGCCCACACCATCTGCAGCACTTGCCGGCGGAGCCATCCCCAGCCGGTGGCAATTCCAGCTATGTCATTGCTGGTTTCGCCGTGTATTTAAAGAGAAATGCCTGTTTCGTTTACATCTAAACCTCTGATGCTTCTTGGCATGTCCTTCCAGTGCCGAATTCGCTTTTGGTTTTTGGTTTCTGGTGATCTACCCGTTTTAAGATGTACTCTCATCTGGTCTGCTATAAGGGAAGGAATTCCGGGTTCCATGCGTCCTTCCTCCCGTTTGAGCCACAGCCATGATGAGAGCTGAACTGCTTACAATGCTTGCAACATTGTTACATGTAGATTGTGTGTGTGGCCTGCGCGAGACAAGATGATCATGATTCTGAATAATATAGCTTACATGTTTATCTCCCAAAGATTTGGACAACAACATGCAACAAACATTCCGGTTCGCTACATGTGAACTATTTATGTTGAAATGCAGTGTTAATCCGTGTTTCACGGTGTTTCATGGTGTTTAAACATGTTTAAACATGTTTAAAATGTGTGTTAGTTGTGTGTTTAATATATCTTGTTCCACTGTCTAAAAAACATGTAAAAAAACACGGACCATGACCATCGCACTAAAGATCCGCGTTTTTTTTCTCTTAGCCGGTGGAGCCGCGGGCCATCATCGCCTCAGTACCAGTACCAGGTATGTACCAGGTACGTCAGATATTGAAATCATGAAACGTTGATGAAACGTTGAGGACAAAAACTGATAAATGTTGAGGAAAATTGATGGCAAGTTGTTGAGAGATTGTGGTCGGCATTTGGGCCAAATATCAGGCCATGATTTGAGTTTTGAGTATCCTCTGCCAGTTTCTGAGCCACTGCCAGCCATAGCCGCCTCAGCAGTGTAGCGCATGCCAAGGCCCTGCGAGAGATTCTTCTTCCTTTCCTGCGAGAATAGCAACCCACCAAACCGGACCACAACGGGAGAGTGCTTGGGAGTGGGACGACAACGGGACGCTGCAACTGATTTTCACATTGAAACAAGAGGGTTGCTGCTGAACGTGCATTGATGCACCACAGCTCACAGAGCATCTGCGAGCATGCGGATCTAAAATGGTGTAAACTCTCCTTGAGGCTCAACACTACGCCGCTACGCGCACACAAGAGTCACAAAAGCCCTTCACTCTCAACAAGAACTCAGCGTGCGTGCAGCTGCGTCAGTTGCACTTCAAAAAGCACATCATCTCCACTTTCACGATCAAAAGGTGAATTATTCGCAAGAGGTTTCAATTTCGTTTCTTTGGCGAAAAGGATTGAACATCCCGGGAAAGGCGACAGTGTTTTCACTTGAAGCACCTCTTCTCTCTGCAACACTTCATGCGTCGCAAGCACCTTCTGCTCAATGATGTCGGAAACTCGTTGTCGGTAGTGTGGTTTCAACCATTCCAAGAGGTTTGGAAGCACGTCGTCGGAACAACTTCTGCTGCTTGGAAAGTTGAAGGTGAGCTGCCGGATCATGAAGTCATTCTCTACATCCGCATCAACGATCATAGAGATATTCTTCAAGCACTGCAACTCTTTATATCGAGTTGGACTCCGGCTATCACGGCTCCCACAGCTCCCACTGTCACTGCTTCCAGCTTGGCTAGAAGATTGTAAACTGGGGGACATGGCTAGGCTTCTGGACCTCTTACTCGGGGCGCTTTGACATTTGGCACTGGCGACACCAAAGCCCAAGACGTGTCTCATATCGCTGCTGGGGCAAAGATTTTCCATTCGCCCCACGCGGTCAGCTGAATTGGAGTCATTGGTGATGCCAATGAGATGTTCGGCCTTATCGGTGAAGCCCGGCACGGTCACATGGAACAACTCCGCATCAAAGCTCACCCCACTGGAGTCCTTCATCTTGATGTGCAAAGATCTGGCAGGAGTCAAAGCACTGGAGGATTCAGCAATAAAGTCTGTGAAGCGCTGATGATCCACGGCTGCGATGTATTTCACAAATGGCGTGCCATCCAGTGAGGCTGACTTGTTGCCAAAGTGGCACATCAACAGGTCCAGAAGTGAACTAGAAGCTGTCTGGATCGCAAGGTTATGGCTGAGCCTTACAGAAGCATCGCAAGTCACGGACAGTAAGCGTTGTGCTGCACTGCCTTCCCTCTCAGCTTCCTTGAGTTCTTTCGCCTTTGATTCCAGATCAACTGATGCCTGGGCCAACTTGTGCTCCTTTGTGTCCAGAGTGGTCATCAACAAAGTCATGAAAGAAACTGCGATCATCTCACTGAAAATGTGAAACTCCAGTCTTTCTGGTGGACCCTCTGGAGATTGGGTCAGCCAATGTGCTAAGACATAAAATGGTGCAAGCGCAAGATTCACTTTGCTGCCAAATCTGCTGCAAGTGAAGCTGAAACAAAGAGTTCGAGCCATGTAGCAGGCAGGCTTGAATTCCCTAGGCATGCCAAGGGTTGAAATAAAGACTAAGATGCTCAGCAGAGTTGCATCACGGTCTAGACGACTGGGGGTCACGGAATCTTTGTCATCTGCCATTCTCCGCAAGATTTCTGACCCCGTCGCCACTCCAAAGAAGAAGGGCAAAAAGCGGACCATTGGATCCAACACACCGCACAGCTGGGCAAGGAAGAGCGCGAAGATAAAAAGATCCAGAACATAACACCAGACGTGGGCAATCTCCTGCAAGGAGATCCGTCTCCGTTCGTCTAGGAGACGCTGTGCTTCCACATCTGCTGTTGGAGCCCCGATCATCTTTTTGAATAAGGCCAGATTGACGTCGGAGCTCACTACGATCACTCCGGAACGCAAAGTTCGTTGAGTCCAGAAGTGCAAGGAAACCAAACCATACAATGCCACCACAAGGTGGCCGCTCCTCTCGCTCCATTGATTCATGAAATCAGCGCTGCTTAGCATGGCACTCTGCAAATTTCTACATGTTACATGAGCCTAAACAGCCTCGATTGACACGGGATTTGGCACAAAGATGCATCAATTCAACAACTGTTGCAGCGCTATAAAAAGCGAGTGAACAGAGTGAACAGAGGCACCTCGTTCAAGGCCCTCCGCTCCTCGATCTCTTGAGCACGAAATGCTGCCTCAGCAGTTTTTGTTGAAATATGGGTATGGATCAATACCTATGAAAATACCATTTTTAGGGGAATGAACATCCATTTACCAGCTATTTTGATGTTCACCAGGGGTACTATTGGTTTTGACACACTGCCATATGTCTCACATGGGTTGGTTCTACTTGGTCGAGATTGAAAGCTCTCTACAGGTCTACAGGGCTGTTTTTCACCATCCCCAGCTACACCTTGGCAGTTTCACGGTCTGCGCGTTCACTTTCTGGAACAAGAACCTGGCAACAAGGCCCGAGAGGGTGTTGTGAAATATGTCTCTATGGACCTGCAAAGTTGTCAAATTAATCTAAATGTCTAAATCTATCTAAATCTTATCATTTCAATTCACTTTAAGCAAACTCTAGTCATTTGTGGAAAAAAATCATAGGTCCAATTCTGGTGTATCCTGTGTACAGCTCTTCCATGTCGCAGCCAGAAAAGGTCGATTCGCCTCTGCAGCCAGGTTCAAATATCGCTCCCAGTTGATTCGTTCTTCCGCTGTACCTCTCTGTTAAAAGCGTCTCAAGTTGAGACCAGATCGGGCATCACTGGAATTTTCGCAGTTCATAGGCGGAGCCAAACCATCATAGAAAAATGATGATGGGAAAATGATGATAGAATACTTATAGGAATGATAGAATACTTATAAAAAATTATTCATATTAGAATATTATAGGAATATACAATATAGGAATGCAGATCATCTTGCCATCTGTCTGGATTTCTATTCCAACACCGAACCTCCGTGCAGCTTACGGGTCACCAAAGTCCAGGTGGGTCGGCTGACTTTGTCCCTGATCCACCAGCTGAAAATGAGTTGTCCCATCAATGGGTCATTTGCAGTCTGAGAAAACCGTTCACGGTATCAAATAATTAATCCACATATCAAGCCATGTACCATCTGGCCAGTGATTTCGACCCCAACAATATCAACTCAATCGGAATCATGATCCCATGTAGGATGGAACTTTTGGAATCAAGCCAATGGCCTCCAAACCGAGCGGCGGTTGCGTCTCGGTCGTGAAATGTAGATAATGTAGGATGAAAAGTAAATAGACGCACAGCACTTGAAACATCTTGAAACTACCAAGCAGATCCAAGCAGCTAGATGAGTAACCAGTCCACTCATGTCCCGCCGCTTGATGCCTTGACAGAAAGTTCCAAATGCATGCCGGTGTTGCGGACATGCAAAACCTGCACGGCACAGCCAGGGTAGATCAGATCCTTTGCCACATCAACATCGGTCTTAGTGTCAGTGAAAGCACATGAATGACATGGGTCTGTCCAGAAATAGGATAGTGTACACTAAAATCCAATGGTTTATCATCATTTATCATCATGTTACCCATTAGAATGGGCTATAAAATGGGATGTGCAGGATCGTTTTTCACCAGATGTCGAGAGCAGTGTCGCCATAGGGGGCCTCTGCCAAAGGAAGCTGCCCCTGCTCCAAAGGTTGACCAGCTCGCTGCTCTAAACTTGCCCAAACCAAATCTGGTCGTGGCGAGGGGCCGAGGGGGTATCGAAAAAGGTCCATTTCTGAGGCGAGAAGTGAGTTCAGAATCTCAAAATCACTTCAAAGTCGTGAAGTTGATTCAATATGTTTCAATATCCTTTCCGTTCAACTGGTTGATTTTGATCAACACCGGGACAGCTTCTCTAATTCCCTCATGCAAGGGCCCAAGGAACCTGTCTTCAACGAAAGCCAGGCAGGTACTTTCCGCCTTGCCAATGTCCACGACTCGCTACTATCAAGCTGGTTGGAGCTGATTCCCCATGCGAGGTGGATCATTCAACACCAAAAAAGGTCACTATTTGTCGCTATCTCAAAGATCAACTCACGTCAATTCCAATGCAGAAAACAAAAAGAAACTCACAGGACTTGTAACTACTAGTAAGTGCAACTCAAGATGGCAGTGGAGAGGTTTCTTGTTGATTCCAAGATCCTCCCTGTCCAGAGCACCTGCCAGAACTTCCAAACATCGATGCCTTAGCCGTGTTTTCCCGATGTGGCGTTTACTCAAAGGGGATACAGTACCTCACAATGGCAGTTGTTATGAAGAAATGAAATGACCGTGGGATTTGGGGGTCCAACTTTTGAGACCATGTATATACATAAATATACAAGATTGTATTATATATATACTATAAACTATATATTTTTTATATTTAATATTAAATATTATATTATATATATATATTATATTAATGTATTATATATTAATGTATTATATAATGTATTATATATTAATGTATTATATATTAATGTATTATATACTAATGTATTATATATTAATGTATTATATATTAATGTATTATATATATATATATCATTATATTCTATTTTTAGATCATTATATTATATTAATTATATTAATTATATTATATTATATTATATTATATTATATTATATTTATATCATATTATATTATATATTATATATTATATATTATATATTATATATTACAGTATATATTATATATTATATATTATATATTATATATTATATATTATATTATATTATATATTATATATTATATATTATATATTATATATTATATTATATTATATATTATATAACTATTATATATATATATATTATCATTATATATTATTATTATTATTATCATTCTTATTATTATTATGTATTATATATATTTATAATATATAATATAATATATATATATATGTATATGCATACTGTATGAACTTGAATCTTTTGGTCCACCCCAGCAAGCGAAAAGGAGGCGCAAAATCAGGTGAGAAGTGGGCAACGAGACCAAAAGCACGAGATTGGAGGACCACAGAAAACATGTCTCTCACACCTTGGGAGGGAAGCTGATGGTTACGCTCACGCCATCCTGTCGTCCAGGGTGGCCGCGCCGATCGCATGTGCCAATTTTGTTGTGCAGTAAACAGCAAAGGTATACGGAACTTTTTGCAAAGAGTCTTATGATGTGTCTTTCTTGCACAAGAGACAGGGGGCGACCAAATACAAATGCAACTGCAGCAACCCTTCAGTCACAACTCGTCCTCCATCATTTACAGAACATGATGAATTCTGTTACAGAACCTGTGTTCAGTACTCGTTGAACTCGACGTGCCTCCATGGTTGTCCGTATGGTCTCAAATTCGCCTCGCGACGTCAATCTCCAAACTAAGTGGGGCACAGCAGCTGAGTGGGGCTCCGCACCACTCTTTTGCCCCAGCTCACGGCATTGCGCACATCTGGAACCACAAAAGCAACCAATGCCCGCCTCAAAGCAGCATGATCCACGGATCTGCCGTTTGAAACACGGCGTCTGTCAAGGCAGCCAAGGGACAACAGTGAAGGCGCCCAAGCACGAGGCGCAAAAATAGCGGTCACAGGAACCACAGATCTGTCGCCTGGCAGAACCATGGAAACATCGAGCTGAAATAATTTGGAGGGACAGCAATCCCCTTAGAGATATATAGATGCCTAGATAGATCGATTGATTGATGGATAGATAAATAGATTATATAGTAATTACATCAGATTTGTATATTAATATATAGATACAGTAGATAACAATCATATATAGAAATTGAATGATTTCTAGGTGTTTTTTTAGCGTTTTTCAATAGTTTTGAGGTGTGTGGAACATGTGCAAGGCTGTCACCAGATCCCACACTCTCCTAACCAAACATCTGGGCCAGACCCCTCCTGCGAAGAATGCCGAAGTATTCACCACAACCTTCACAGCGGGAACCATCCTCAGCAAGTACAACTCATGGTCTGATGGTTTATCTCGTTATAATCCCATGATATCCCATGACAAAAACTCAGTGTGTCATAGATTCCATTGGTTTCCCACCTGGTGAGTTCTTCCATCCCTGGAATCTTGAGGTCAAGGCTGATGGGACTGGATTTGAACTCAGCAAATCAGCACCTCGCTTGTCGCAAACGGGCCATCTTCCGTAATCTTTTCTCCCAATCTCCAATCATCTCCCGCAATCACCCGTAAATCCTTTGTAAATTGTAGAACCAATAAAAAAAATAACCGTTCCTGGCTTAAAAATCGGTCCCTGCCATCACTGTGAACGGAGTGCAGGGAGGACACGTCGTGCTTGGGCGTGCCCAGCAATTGCTTGCGGAGCTCCTCGCCTTTGGATTCAAGATGACTGCCACGTCTCCAAATTGGAGATGGTCTTTACATGCACAAGCTATTGTACTGGGGATTGTTCAGTGCTGGGGTTTACCATATTTCCTTGCTCTAGCCTCTGGTAATTTACCATAGCTATGGGAAATCACCATGTTCAATAGATAAAGAATCTAGAAATGGTTCATTTTCTATCCATTTTCCATATCTATGTTTCATATTGCTTCATTACCCAAGGGCGCTCAGGATCCCTTTTTCGCGCTTGAAATCGGCCAGCTGTTTCGGAGTCAAACTGCCAGCACGTCCAGGTTCCTGGGCGCAGGGATCACATGTCGAACTTGTGGCATAATTAATGATCATAATGTTACTATATAGTAGTAAAGCAACCCAACTTTACCATAAATGTCCATATAAGTGTGGATTCCCCAAAAAAACATCGAAATATGGTTTATGATTGCTTTACGAATATTATCTTTGACTCTTTGACCCAAGCCAAATCTTTCCACGTCAAGTCTCGCTGCGGGGCTCAGGGCATACAGTGCCAGTACTGTGCCTGGCACCTCCACAAGACAACGGTGCAAGGACGAGCCTAGTAGCCATCCATTAGGCTGTCAATATCATCCCAATAAGTCCAATAAGAAAATATATGAAAATATAAGAAACCTGGGACATCTTAGGACTTGTTATTTGGATTTATTTAGTTTAAGGTAAAATGATTGAGTTTTCCAGATCCACAATGCAGAAATTCACGGGTTGAAGCGGAAAACTGATGAACTTTGTGGATGCCATTGGATGCCCTTGCCACATGTCTGAGCCAATCTCACGGTCCCAAGGGCCTCAGCCGCTTGAGAATCCAAGTCGTAGCAGTGACATCGGACATACAGCCGCGATCTCAGGTTTTGCTTCCTCGGCAAAACAAGTGTCCAAGACCTCGCAGGAAAAACGTGGCATTTTCCAAATGTCCAAAAACGGGGTGTCTACCCCAAGAGCATATGAATGGGAAAAATGATTATCCATTGAAACGATTTCTAACTGGACTTATCATACTTGCAACCAATGTTCGCCCATCCTGTCCTATGTCTCCAAGCATCAGAAGCAGAGCTGCTTTCAGCCTCCGCCTGCCTTTGACCACCACATCTGCACCCTTGTGATGGACCACTACCAGCCTTAGGACCACAACGGATAGCTGTGCTGGAAGGATATGAGGCTCAACATCTCCAGTTTTAAGCTTTAAAACCAAACCAGCAATCTGCCCGTATACAGTATACCCAAAATAGTAGAGATACTGCTGTAATACTATCCCATATTGAACCTTGAAGGGATAAGACCATATGTTTGGGGGACATTCCGTTAGGCCTTGCAGAGACCGAACATATTTTACCATACCAGAAATCAGAAATGTCCCTAAAAGCGATGCTCGGGTTCCCGCTGCGGGGGCTCTTTCGAACAGGATCTCCGGTCGAACATCCCAACATCATACAATCACACACGATCTCCATTCGCAACAGCCTCCCATCACTTTGCAATGCTTTTGTCCAATCAAGGTGCGGTTCGAAGTTGCTCAAGATCCAGGAGTTATGATACTGATTGTGCCACTCGAGGCCAGCTTCCGTCTGGCCTCACCAAAAAGCTTTTG